CTCGGTCTGAAATTTCACGTCAGCAAATCAAGGTTGTTAGAACAAGCTTTAAACGAGTCTTGCATGAATCAAGTTCGAAGAGCTTATATCAGAAGAATGGCAAAATTGCATATAAAGTCACCACCTTAAAGGTTTTTGCAATTTAATTACCACCTTTTTCATATTTGTGTCTAAATCACCACCTTTCATATGCTTTGCAGATTGAATCATAAATTTAACTTCCGTTACCCTTTCCGTCTGTACCAAGACAGCCACGTAGACTCTCCGTCTATGCCGAGTCAGCTCCAAACTAACGGAAGTTAAATTTATGCTTCGATCTGCAAAACATATGAAAGATGGTGATTTGAATGAAAATAGCAAAAGACGGTGATTAAATTGCAAAAGTCTTAAAGGTGGTGCTTTTGTACGCAATTTCGCCTCACAAGACCACATTGAAATTATTCATTTTTTGACATAAGCTGGTCAAGCTCGGTCTGAATTTCACGTCAAAATCAATATAGACCCTTGAAAACCTTTTTTTTTTTTTTTTTTTTTCTTTCGGAAACAGGAATGATCGTGACATCTCTAAACTTGCTCCCTTGCGGGAGGCTTGAAGGCGGCCGAATTGCCCAGGCCATGTTTGGCCGGAGCAAGGCAGCTCTACTCTCGTTTGCAACCTCGTTTCTGCTGGGAATTGGCGGCCTGAGCGGGAGTGTACTGTGCCTTGCATGGGGCCTCTTTGCGACTTTTTTCCGGGGAGGAGAGGAGATTCCGGCAAAGGACGAAATTACCCCTCTGGGGGAAGACCGGTTTGCGTGGGGCTTCGTGTTATTCTTGATTTGCTTCCTCACGCTCTTCCCCAACGGAGGCGGGACCTACTCGAGCTCGTTTTTCGGGGCCCCGTTTTTCAGGGGGTGACCTATGACTTGTGAGTGTTAGCATGCAGCTAGTAAGGTTAAGGCTGGTTTGTGTGTATCAAACATATATATATATATATATATATATATATATATATATATATGTGTGTGTGTGTGTAGTAGTGGCTGTTTTTGTGTGGATGTGTATATAGATGCAACTGTGTAAAGTCGAAATGTCACGTTTTGGGGGTAAAATTGAAACTCAAGCAAAGCGGGAGTAATTTGTTTTTATTACAAGGGGCTTGTTAGCTTGTTTATTATTCTAAGAATCTAAATTATATTAAAATTGAATTTTAGCTGCAGCTCAAATTCTCTCTGAACTTGCATTTTCATATAATTCCTGTTGCAATATTGTATAAATCTATTATCACCAACGAAATGATCCAAATTCCAAAGAAATATGCTCAAATTTCGTAATCCTACGTACCACAAAACAAAAGGCCCAGCATTTTTGTAGCTAATTTAGTTAACCATTATCTGTAAGGAAGTCCCTATCCAACTCTAGTTGTTTGTGCCAAATTGACCATCTCACTAACCTTAATAAGACATCTTTACCCCTCTTACAAACTATAAAAGCAGTTGTAAGGTTCGACTTTTTCATTATTAAACTCATAATATCTTATCCATGGCTAATAAGGCCACGATCTTTTGTGTTGCCACCCTTCTTCTCATTCATTTCTCTCATGTTCTTGCCCGAAGACAACCGGCTTTTCACGATGTCACTCCCATGGATACACATCATCAGGTTCATATTACAAATATAGAGATATTTGTATTCATGTACAAACGTTTGAATATGTTTTTAGAGGCTAAAATGCAATTTTGGTTATATTAGATTTTGAATGTAGCAATTTAAGTCTCACTCGAGTGACATATAGCAATTTATGCCCTGTAATTTAAAATTTTATTGCATTTTCAGTTATTTTGACCATCATAATTAGAAATTTGACGTAAATTGCTAATCAAAATTCACACCAAATATATAAATTGGGACCAAATATATAAATTGTTATTCTGACTGCATCTAATTATCGATTTTTGTTAATTATGTTAGAATAACGAAGGGCACAAAGTAGTTGTTGATCAGGATAGTTGTGCTGGACTTGGAGAAGACGAGTGTTCGATGAGAAAAAATCTTGAAGCACAACTTGATTATATCTACACGCAGAAAGAAAAGCATCCATGAATTCCATTGCCTTTATTTTATGTATTATATAATATGTATGTATTGACTATGCATGTGAATATTGGAAGCCATTAATTTGATTGTTTAAGTTGTACTTTTATGTTTGTTGTGCATATTGTTACCATGACTATATATATAGATTGTTATGGATTTTGAATTTTTGTATATCTATCTAGCTATAAAGTATAAACCCATTTTGGAATCTTTGTCTATTTATTTGTTCAGTACAATTGTTGGTTTATTATTTATTACAACTCTCCGCAAGTGTACAACATAGTTATTATAATTAGTAGAGAGTAAGGTTGTAGTTCACGAAGATTGTTGTTAAATCAATTCAATACAAAATTAAGGACGATTATATATTTTCTAGGTACTAATACTATTTCAGGTGATGGTTTAACCATGATCTCAAAATTATATTGTGAATATTTTGTATTCAACTACTCTAATCAATTTTACTAGAGATAATCACTAAATCAATCTAAACTCTGTCTAGAGCAAGTTAAATCGTATATTATTTGCAATCTCCTTTCGCCTCAAGATAAACAACTAACTCCCTCAGTTTCTAAGATTTTAATTATCTCGCATAATTCTATCAATCTCTCGGTCTGTTCAGAGACAGTCTCTTTCGTTACCAATTCTTTAATTCTAGCAATTGACTATCTTCTCTTGGTCTCAAATTAATTATAAATATGCAAATATGCATAAATGCAGGCCCTTCATGCAATAATTATAACACAAAGAATTTATAAACAAAAAGCAAATCGGAATAATATCTATAAAAAATAAATTTCTAAATATTGAGTTAGAAAAGAGAAAACTTTGTTGATAAAACTAACATTGACATACATAAGCATTATAGTGTTTTTTCAGGAGAAATGTTGTTAATTTTTTTAGCACAAATAAAGAAATATTCCCAACTAAAACAAGAGGACTTTAAATCGGGGATGAAAGAATTTAGAAACATACAATCTTGTCTAATCACCTTCACCAAAAATATAAAAATCTAAAAAACAATTATCACTACAAATATAAACATAATGATACTTTGCATCTTTAGAAACGAAGTGAAGTCATAGACATTTGAGGTAATTGAGAAGGCGAGCGGAGACCTCAATTTCCATTACATTCCTAAGCTTGCTTTCTTGCAGCAAGATAATCAGTCCGAGAGTGTTGAAGAAAGCGGTAAAAACCTCTCTTCTACGGTCCCTTATTTGAGACTATTAAGGCAGTCGGAAGTCGGACGACTCTTCAGTAAACCAGGATGACCCAACCCCTTCGACGCTTCTTTCGCTACCTGGGTCATGACTTGTTCCGCTATTCATTGAAGCAATTTGTTGTTCAAGGTCCGCATTTTTCGCAAGCATTTCCCTCAATTTATTTCGCTTCTTTTTTAGTTTTTTCCTTCAAATTTTGCTTCAACTCATCCATGTTCTTCATTTACACCTCCAATATAATTTTTTCATGCTTAAACTTTATATAACATATTTTTTAAAAATAAAGTTATTATTCATCAAAAGAACCGACAATCATTCGTCTACATGAATAGAGGTGTTGATTTAAGATATAAAAAAGATAATGCCTACTTTATCGAATTGCATTTCTAAAGAAAATAATCTCGACCGGTTGAGAAAGAGACTAGGTCGATCTGAGGAGTAAGGATATGTAAGGGCCGCCAGGATCAAGTCGACTAAAGGCAGGGGAAGCGACCTGATGATGGAAGAGCGACCTAAACCACTGATTGAGGTGACCTCCAGAAGGACATTCAATCCAGGGACCTTACTCATTGGTACTCAAGGGGACGACTTGGTCGACTGCGACCAATTGGTACTCGGGCCATAGTAGGCACTAGGGACGCAGGTCGAGTAAGAGACCTTATGATGATAAGGATGATATTAGGATATATAGGGCCAAACTTTGGGCAGCCCATAATCGCTTCGGGCAGACTGACCCAGGCAGCCATAATCTTGAGCACCAAGCTACTCCCCTATAAAGGGGTTGAGGTACCATTGAAAGATGTCTACATTATATACATCTCTACTGACAGTAGAGAGCTTATTATCTCTTTCCTTGTACTAATTTGGCATCAAAGTGCTAATGGTGGGAGACCCTCCTGGCTCATTTTTTGTAGGTCACCAGTTGTTTCAGACGATCGGAGCTCCACATCAGCCGCTTCATCCTCAGATTTTGGTCACCAACACATCATCTATAATTTTTTTTATCATTTTTTAAAAGTCAATAAATTTTCTTATTTGTATTCTGTATTCATCATGTCATAGAATTTTAAGTTGGTTAACATTGATTTACATTTTAAATGATCTGATACAGTAAATAAGACAAATAAACCATGATTTATAGTGGTAATATTTTTATCTGATATTTAAAAATATACATGTAAACAATAATGCAACTGATACTGGTCAGATTATCTAATTGAAATGCAATAATAATAGTGATTTTGTGACAAAATTAACTGATATTCAAATTTATCTAACTGATATTCAATTGTAAATTGATTAATCTCACACAGATAAATATAGGTTTTAACTTAGTTCAATACGTGTATACATGATACTTGCAAAAAATAATAGACGAGAGAGCAACTCAATTACTGTAGATCATAATTCTAAAATAATATTATTTAGAAAGAATATTTAAAATTTCAAAACAATTTGACAAAGTTGTAATAATAGTTATGATAGACATATGTACTTATATTAATATAATTAATAATTAGCTTTGTGATAATTTGAAATAAAAATGTGTATTATTTTAAATAGTTATCGCTGTATTAGTTATTCATTATTTGTTGGACATTTGTTTTGAAAGAATATAAATACTTTTATATTTAATTTTTTATTATACAAATATTTTTTTTTAAACACCCGTTTTCCTTAATTTAATTAGTACTCGATTATATAAAACTCGTTTGGCCGATTGCCGGAGACAAGGAAACAGTGACCCCAATACTCCGTAGAGTTTCCACCAGAATCGGAACGTTTGCCGGCGATAAACCCCGCCGACGGGGTGAGGTTCTGCCAATGCAAGCCCTAGGTTATAATCCCCGGTTAATCAGCGTACTGAGCCGCCCTTCGTCGCGTCTCAATTTGCGACCATTCTCTTCATCGTCGTCCTCGGATTACTCCGACCAGTCACGCGGAGGCCTTCCTAGATTCTTCTCGGAAACCCTACCCTCTTTGAAGGTATTTTCGTGCTGCAATATGTTTTATTATTCTTTCTTACTTCCCTCTTTTTACTGCTGAACTTCTATTGTATGTATGAGATTAGGCGCGAAAGGTGTTGATTGGTAAGGAAGCTACTTTTAACTTTTTGAGAACTTCACTTGAAAATTTGCAGGGAGGCATTGTGCGTGTGAAAGGTGATGAGTTCTGGCACATGACCAGGGTTTTACGGCTTGGAGTTAACGACAGGTACAGCATTCGTAGCGACATTTTCGACTAGTTTTGTTTCTTTCTGTATCAGTGACTTTTCTTTTTTCTGGGTGAATTTTTTTGCAACTCTTTTTGGGGATATGATGAGAAAATAGTATTACCCTAGCCGTGAGGTGTGAATACTATAGATTGGTTCATGATTGACCTCATGCAGTAAACCGGATATGGAGAATGAATGTGTCCATCTTTTAAATTTTTTTATGATCCTTTGTTATTTACTTGAATAATATTTGATCCATAAAGATTAGAGTGGAGGAGGAGTAAACTGTTCCTGATGCTATTCATTTGTATGTTATAATTCAGACAGAATCTGTAGTCGAAATATGCGTTTCTTCTGTAAATTTAGATATGGTGCAAAGTGTGCAAGTTCATGAGAGATACAGAATTTGATTTTCGATAGGAAAAATTGAGTTCGCACTCAAGTTTTTGCTCAGGAGTTGAGAATTTGTAATTGGCGAAGATGAATGCAAGTGACACTGTTTACCTAGAATTTTATTTTGCAAGGGTGGAACTATTTAATGGAAAAGGAGGTCTGGTTGAAGGGCGCATAGAGAAGATTGACGTTGCAGGGGTAGATTTGGAAGCAACAGAGAGCCCAAAATTAGTTTCTCCACAAGCGACACAATGGCATATTTTTGCTGCGTTTAGTGAGTTTTCAGATGATTATAAATTTTTTATTGTCCTATTTTATATCTCAGGCTCCTGTTACTAATTCATGCTGTTGGTTTTAAGGCACTCTCAAGGGGGGCCGTGCTGATTGGCTTGTTGAGAAATGCACTGTATGTTCTTTGTTGTTGTTGCAAATGGTTTTTAGTACAATTACCGATTTATTTGTAGTGTTGGGTGATGTTATTTAATTCATTTTCTCGACCTATGCGCAAAAGGAGCTTGGAGCATCCAGCGTGACACCTTTGTTGACTGAGCGTTCTAATTCTATATCAGAAAACAGAGTCGACAGGCTACAACGACTCATTCTTGCCGCAACAAAACAATGTATGAAAGTGGCTTTTACCTGCAATTTCATCCCCTCTTTTTGGATTAAATTTATTTGAAGTTGTTACTGTGATTCGGTTATTTTGTTTCTAATTGTTCATCAAATGGTACTTTTTGTATAGGTCAGCGTTTGCATGAAATGATATTAAAGCCTCCTATTACAGTGGTGAATCTCCTACCTATAGTGAGTATCTCCCTTAATGTCACTGTTTTATTGATGATTAAAAACTGTTACATACGTGTCGACTTTCTCCATGGATGCAAAATTTAGGATTTCACTTTTCCGTTTTTCTGTTTTATGCTTGTTTTTATTTATATTTTTTCTACCTCACATGTAGGTAGGTCAGTCAAGATTATCACTGGTGGCTGTAGCTGAGGCTACTCCAGTTTTGAATACTTTGAGGGTTTTAAATAAAGAAACTGCGGGAATCGTCATAATTGGGCCTGAAGGAGGTTAGCCGTCAATGCTGTCTGTGAACATTCTAATCCCCTACTTGAGATGGGCCATTTTTCTAGTTTTTTTTCCTTTTTTATTTAACTACTAAATGAGTTTATTAGTGTTAACATAGCTGGATGATCTTGGAAACTGTAATTTCTTCTTGTGATAAATTATGCGCACCAATCCAGAAATATTCATCTGGCAAGGACCTTTTTAAAGTTAGAATCCGAAATTGGAATTTCCTAAAGTTACCTTTAATTAAAGTGTGCTACGTCAACAAATAGTGGACGCTTATGCATTTGTTAGCTACTTGTTGGACCAGAAATACAACGTTGTAATGGCCTAGGGAGGAAATATTTTGATCCTACTTCATGCAAAGAAACTTTTTATTCCTATTTTTTGTTTGATTCTTTCATCCTGTAAATACAAAGATATTCAATCATGAGGGATGTGATAAACAGTTTTTTGCTATATTGTGCAAAATTGAGCATCTGGACTTGTTTGTACACAGCAGAGCTGTAGAAATGCATACATTAATTAGATTTGAATATTTCTGAGTAATATGCCCCGGGATGATTTTTTAACTAAAGAAAACAAGAAACATATACAATACGACTCAAATGTACGCAAGGCAGTGCATACATTATATAAAAGAACAATCAGAAGGAATGAATGTCCCTAGATATAGAATGATAATTTTTTGGTAGAGTTTTAAACTCATACTTAAGGGCCTGTGGAGTAGAAATGAGTTCTATATTAATTTGAAGATTGGATTTCTTTAACTAATGATCTCACATCCGCTACATTAACATTTTTTTTTTCTGAGTGATTTATTATAACAATTGATTCTTCTATTCATTATGACTCGTTAATCTCATGCTCACTAACTTTGATGTTCTGTAATTAGACTTTACAGATAAGGAGTTGATCTCATTAACGGAGGCTGGTGCAACGGCTGTTGGTTTGGGCCCACATCGCCTGCGTGTTGAAACTGCTACAATCGCTCTTCTTTCAACCCTGATGTTATGGTCCGATTCCCAAGAAGCTATCAGCAGTTAGCTGCACTTTGAGGCAAGCCTAGCCTTTCTGTTCTTAAGGGTATATTTCGTGTTGAGTAACATACGGTTTTATTTTGGGGAAAGTTCGATATCTGATCTCATTTTTTGGTTGAAAGAGCCAAAATGTTGGGATCAACCGACACCCGTGTTTNNNNAATCTTTTGGATCAATGTTGTTAATATCACTTCTGGGCCATTTGTGTGTGAGAAAAGGTGAAAAATAACCTCCTTTTATGAAAGATGATTTTGTTTAGAAAATGACTTTTCATATTTTCATGTAAGAAATGGCTAAAAACCAGCCCCGAATAAGTTTTCTATTGAGGATTTTGTGTAAGAAGAAAGATAAAAGTGGCCGCCATAATATGAGATTGCTTGGTGAGAAGACATAATAATGGGAATTCAGTTTGTACAGGTTTTCCTTTGAGTCTCTGACCCATCAAAAGCTGTTATGGGCTTTCATACTGTTTTGTTTCAGTAAGATGCATATCTAACCATGAACTCATTCAATTAAAGATAAGATGGTAATTTACGGTTTTAGTCTTTAAGGATATTTAATTATTAAGAAAAACTAAAAATAAATAAATTATAGAGGTTAAGAAATTGGAAACTATCTACATAGTCGTTGAGGTGTTAAAATCTTCATATTTATTTCTAGTCTTAATTATAGGGGCCACTGCAATATATAATTTTGTTGACTTTGGAGTTAGTTTTCACATTCTATTTCTATTTTACTTTGCAATTGAACTCTATTGATATGATGTGTGTAAAAGATGATGTACACGTGTACCATTCATCTCACATGGATGAGTAATACATAAATACACCTTTGGTATTTCCCATCAGACTGACATTGACTTATGAAAAGGTTGAACATATATGAAGGCAACACACACATTGGAAAAATTGGTCCTTAGTTTATATTGATTTTTACAAGTGTGGCATGATTTACATGTTGTTCATAATGGCCCTGTTATAGCTAAAACCTGATTACATTACGTGACATTGCATAGATGATTACATTAACGGGTTTGACTGGTAAATTCTATTAATTAAATTGTATAGAAATATTTTGACGAATAATTAATAGTGAATAACAAATTTATAATATAAAATGAATAATAAGGAGATTAAAAAATATTTTAGTTAGGTATATTTATTTATAATATAGATCTATCTAATGAATTCATTGTGAATACAATCAAATATTATTAACTTAACAAAAATAATTACCTTAAAATTGTTGATATACAATTTTCTAAGTTGCTAATCCATAAATATATCTATATATATATATATATATTGTAATAAATATAAATTACTAATAGTTATGTCAAATTTTATTGTAAATTAACTTATTTATAATAATGTTAAATACAATAAATAGTACAAATATAAAAATTGTCATTTATAAAACATCTTCAATAAAAAAAAAATTGAATAAGATCAGCCTTTTGTGTTAAAAAAAAAATCTTTTTAACATACATCTCAAAATAATTTTTACCACTATATGTGAGAAAACGGACTGACGTTTTGATGGCGGGTTGTTTGGTAAACTGGTTTTGGGCAAAAAAAAATAAACCTTTTTAGAGTGTGTTTCGACCTTTTTAACATGCAACTTTTTTTTTTTTATTAATTCAACTTTTACATTTTTGGGGGCCAAAATACTAAAAACAAAAATATTATTTTTGGAGCATTTCTCATCAGCATTTCGGAAAAAGAAATAATAATAATAAATTACCAATTTTCTCATCTTTCACTTTTCAAAAGTCTACTCTAACACAAATAAAAGACTTGCCGCGAGGAGGATCAATTCAACATAATTATTATTTATATTTCTATATTATTTCAATTTATTTTACTAGATATAAAAAATATATATGATTGCCATTTACTTAGTCTTTATAAGTTCAACATAAGGAAATGTGTTAAAGTATATGTATGCCTTATAAGTAATTTACATGTTAACAGCTAATTATACCAAATTATTCTTCCACAACCTGCTAAGATAGACTTTGCTTGACAATTTGCTGATAGTGTTAACTAATAGGTAATGGCGGATTGTATTAATTTCAATTGGGATTTCTAAAGACTTTTTAAGACTTTAAAAATTCTGATGTATTCAACTTAAATTTGTTAAGATTTTTATGACTTTTAAAGTCTTGGGGTATTGAATTGAGATTTTACAAAGTCTTACAAAATGTTGAGGTATTTAACTTATTTGAGGCTAGAATTTGTTAAGACTTCTTAAGATTCTGTGAGATTTCTAAAGAAAAAACATTATACGAAATCTCATTTTAATCCACCTTCAGACTTAAAATTTCATAGAATTCTTCCAAAATCTGAAAAACTTAAAAAGTCTTAAAATGTCATTTGAAATCTCAATTAAATACACTCCTGAGTTAGTTAATAGTGATAGCTGGTTTGACTAGCTAATTTAATTGGTGGTTTAGTTGAGTTAATTAGAGGTTTGAACAGATAGCGAATTATATTAACTAATTTGACTAGCAGATTTAATTAACATTTGTTAAATAAACGTTTGGTAAATAACGAAAATTTATTCTTACGTTGTACTTCCTTTTTCAAAATCATCATTTGTTCCTAAAATGGGTGCACTTTTTCGGGCATAAAAGGATGATCAAATAAGTTTCACTAGGTCCAAAACTCTAGCTAATAAACAAACGAGTAACCAGAATTCATGAATGTCGCCCAAATCCATCCAAATTCACACACTTTCCGTTTTATTTCATGTAAATGCAGCCGTATAGATTTAATTTTTGCTGGACGGGTACGGAATTGGGGTAGAACTTAAATGCCAATTCATTATACATAATTTCACATTAAAAATATAAATTATTTTAATTTATTTATTTTATAAATATTGATATGTTGCACCTTTGTAGTACACGGGTATCGTACTAGTCAATTTTATTTTAAATCCATGCTTTTACAAATTTGTTTATGAGTTAGTCTCGAGTCTAACATTATGCTATATGAATAAAAATTCATACTTTTATTATTAAATATCATATATTTTTCTATATTAATTTTTTAAGGCGTAACACTTTCCAATGAAACTATGTATATTATAAAATAAATGATGACATTCTATGAATTACAAGAAGTACGGTGATATTTTTGGTTTTACCCTTATCAACTATGTTTTAGAAAAACTAAAATACAATAAAACATAAATGTTGTGGTTGAATTATTTAGTTACAAATTAACCTTGTTTCTGTAGTCCACTCCGAATTGCACTGTTCTCCCGGATTAGGTGGTGTTTATCTGATCAAATAAATATACCACATGACATGTGAAGGATTATTTAAGTAAAAATAGAATTAAAATTTAAATAATATAATATTGACTAAATACACGTTGTGATAATTAATAATACGTATGGGATTAGTATTTTTCTGGTTGTCTCTTTAATTTTGGCTACCGAAATTGACTTTTTTTCCCAATGTCAGAATTTTTTGGTTTGATTGATATTTGTTCGGATATGGTCTTCGTGGGCAAATAATGAAATTCTGAAATTATATTATATTATAGAGTATAGAAAGTGTAAATCAATGAAAGTTACTTGTTCAACCCTTTGCACTCAATTATATATATTTTTTTTTAATTTTTTCTGACTATATATTATAATTATCACTTTTTACCTTTTTATTGGTTGAAAGTAGGGCAATAACTGACGGAGAATATTAAACAATAATCATGTTAGTTTAGAAAAGGAACTTGTTATGATAGCTAAAAACTCAAATTTTTGAAAGCTAAAAATGGCAGACGCTTTGCTGAAATAAATTTTCGGAGTAGAACTCTCCGTGACAGTAATTAATAAAGGTTTCTAGACCTATACTGGTTCAAATATCAAGCTACATATTCAATTATTGAATAGTAAAAAATATATTCAAGTATTAATCTGGACATTGATTGGATTGTTGTTTAATTAAAAAATTATTAAATATTATAGTAGCTTAAGTACTAAATTTATATCAAAAAATTATTGAGATAATATTTAAATAAAACCATGCTAGTTTCTGAATTAATTGATATAATAATTAAAAAAATTATATAAATATATGTATATATATATATATTTGTTTTTGTGTATTTTAAACATATATTTAAATATATTAAACTTATTTTAAATTGATACCAATCTGGCTAGTCTTTTTTATTTTAAAAAAATGCTAGTTTGAAATTTATCTAATAACCTTCTCTAGCTAGCTTTAAAAAATAGTGAAATTTTTATTTCTATTGACTTAGTAGTTACTTTTTCCATACTCTCTAATTTTTTTCGTGATTATTCTTAAGCCACTATTTATAAGCTTGAAATTTAGTATAAGTTATTTGCTAAGATATCATATATCAGCTAGCTAGCTTCTCAACCAAACACACCTTGAATTTATCAAGGTATTAGCAATGCAATAGAATTTTTTTATTTAAAAAAAATTCAACTTTGTAAGAATTTGATCACGCAAATCCATAAAAAGATATAACATATGCACTTTGGGAAATCATATTTCATTTCGAATTTGCAAAAATATTATGCACATTCTCTTGTCATACAATATTATTAATGAAATTCCAACTCATATTCTCTATCATTTCGAATTTGCAAAATATTATGCTAATTCTCTTGTCATACAATATTATTAATTAAATTCCAAACCATATTCTCTATCATCGAAAATCTTGAAACCCGCACTTCAAAGCAGATTATAAATTGAGGTGCTTTCGAAAATTCAATGTGTGTTTGTTTACAAATATACCCCAACAAAATCAAATCTCATTTTAGAATTTAACTCAATTTTAATTCAATTTTACTATCCTCAATTATTACTATAATTGAATAATATCAATTTATTATTCTTACACATCACATTAATTTTAATTCACTATACATTAAATCACATAATTTTAGCTACCTATCCATTCCAATCATATATCTCTTATTCCAGTCTAATCATAACAACTTTTTCAAAATTAACAATAATTAATAAAATAAATCAATTAAATATCAATATATTTGTAAACAAACAATTTTCATAATTTATTGACAAATTAACAACACCTCTCTCCCTCATACTATTTGTCATCACACAATATGAATATTCAATATTAAAAATAACAAATCAAATTTCAACAATTTTAAATAAAAAACAAACAAAACTTGGAAAATCTCCCAAACTTTGGAGTCAAATGAGTGTGAACCCTAAACCTCAGCACGCTACCGGCTACCCCATAAATACCGCCACTAAACAATTTTTATATAAAATAAGAGGAAAGTTTCCTTTATAGACGAGTCACCCATTTTCCCCCTTTCCCCCCACCAAACGCCGTCGTATCGGCACACTCATCACTCAGCTCCGCCGTCAAACTCCGAGCTGAAAGCTCCGTACAAAAAAATGGCGATCCAGCTGGAGAACCTGGTGGAGTCGATAAAATCGAAAGTCCGATCTCTGAAGAAATCGAAGAAGCCGTACGTGAAGATGGACAAGAGCGCGAGCGTTAGAGTCGAGATCCGCAGCCGCAAGGCCAAAAAGCTAATCGACAAGACCCTCAAGGCCGCCGATCGTCCCGGCAAGAAGCATATTCCCTGATTAAAATTTCTGGCACCTAATTTTTCATTTTTTTTTGTTTTTTGTTTTTGGGGATTTTAGATTTTTTCTTTATCCTGATGTGGTGTTGTCTGTGTATATGGATTTTGGGGAAGTTGTTATTGTCTGCCAAGTTTTCTTCTCTGTCTGTTGGCTCCCTTTTTTTTCCGGCGACTGGTTATCTCTGTTAGTTCCGGCGATTTTCCGGTCGGTTTTAATAATGTTTTTTATGGTGTTTTTGAAGTGTCTATATGTATCGGATTACAGATATTACATTTGAACGTGATAAGGTTATGTTAACTTTAATAAATGGATTGATGAAATGATTAACCGGTTCCTTTTCCTTTTCAATTTCTTATCATTTTCCTTTTGTCAAAAAAATCAAATATGTGCATTGAGCCTTGAGGTTCTTAAATTCAATTTAAAAAATCCTGCATTTGAACTTTTTAAAATTTTAATAATTGTTGTGAGGTATTTAATTGAGATTTAGAAAGTCTTGAAAATCATAAATTATTGTTTATTTAACAGTTTAATTTGTTTGGATTTTTTAAATTATTTATATATATATAATTGCTAGCTAAGCAATAAATTTTACCTAATAAATAAAACCTAATAAATTTTACCTATGTGGCAAATCATTAATAAAACTTAATAATAGAACCTAATAAATTTTATTTATGTGACATTAATACACCCAATCTCATCACTAAGAAAATATTTCATTACATTTTTTAGGTTAATTAAGACAAAAATTATTATATTTTATGTTAATTGATTAATAATTATATTTTTTATTGAATAATATAATAGTTAATATTAAAATTAGTAATTATATTTTATACTAATATATGAAAGTTACATAAAATTATATTCTACACTAAAATCAATATTTTTTTATATGATGAAGATGTTTATTAATAAGTTAATTTTTTTTATGTCATAGTAAAATTTCTTAAAGTCACATAAGCAATTGTTATAATAAATGTAATATTTTTCAGCTAATTAATTGGTCATGATCACTCAAAATTATAAAACGTATATATTTATTGCATTTTATGATATCAATATAGTGATTCGTATACAATCAAATCGTGTGTACTATTTATTTTAATCAATGATCAAATTTTAAAATATAATACTATTATATAATTTATAATTTTAATATTATATACATAAATATAACTTATAATACTATATGTTTGAAATATAATACAATTATATAACTTATAATTTTTATATTATATATATAAATATAACTTATAATATTTAATTTTATTTATATCTGTGCAAATGCACAGAGAGTCGAATACTAGTTAAATTTTAAATACAAGTTGCATATACTCCTAAACGTATCTCATTTTTAGACTAAGATTTTCAAGAATTTCAGTGAAAATTACAAATCTTAGGAAAAAAAAAAACAGAGAGATAGACTTTTAAATGTCATAAAAAATGACAAATGAATACATAGACTCACGTGATTATTTTGGATCAAAATTAAATTTTATAAGAGATGGTGAGGCATGTGAAATGTCTTACCACATGTATTGATCACAAGTTAATTTCGTATTGAGATTAATGCAGGCATGCTTTTTACCAAATAATTTACTTATATTTCATCCTCAAAATTTAACTTAACTTTAACTCACCTCAATTATATTTAATATTATTCATATATTTAAATAATATAAATCAAACATTCTTACACATCATATGAACTTGAATTCACTATTCATTTATCCACATATAATCAATATTAATTATTTTATTTTAAATATTATTTTAATACATTCTTAAAATTTCACTAATAACTAATTATATCATATTTTTTAAAATTAATTTTAATTAACTAAAATAACTCATTTTAAATTGATTATTTGATAAACATGCCCAGAAGTGATAATTGGAGGTTTGAATAATGTAAAATATTACTTATCTGAAAAGGTTAAGGGTAAAAGGCAAAACGGATGAATTAAATTACACGTGTGTGGTACTATTTAGTCATGACAAAACAATCATGATTCAACTTTTTATAATCTTTCTTTTTTTTCTTTTTTCTTTTTTCTGAAACATCAAATATATTAATAATTTTATTTTTTTTGTCGGGACGATCAATTTTTATAAAAACCAAATAATTACATCTAAAATTAAGTCAGGAACCGAATCTAGTAGGGATACATCCCTTTCGTGATCCTAAACTGCCACAACACACACGAAGCTACCTAACTCTTAACAAGAGAATACACAACCCCAAAAAAATAATAAAACCTCAAAAACACAAAGAAAATAGAAAAAAAACAATTTAAAAAAAGCTCACAACCTAAATACAATAGACTAAAGCCTTTCCCACAGCCGGAAAAGCACGCCAAACGAACTACGACAGCAACACCCACGGCCGATCACACAAACGAACCGAATTTCACCCAAGAGCTCGACCCCATGCCAAAGTAATCGACCCCACCCCCAGCCGGAGGAAACCGAAACAATCACGAGTCAGACCACAACACGTCGGTCATCCCCTCGACCCTCACACCAAGTGCAAAGGGGACAAGGGGAAAATCTCACCACCTCCCCCTAAGCACCACCACATAAGCACCATCGACTGTCGCAGCCGCGCCTCCAGGGAGATCGACAACCTCTGTCCCGATAAAGCAACCAGTTGAGTAGCGAGATCCTATCGGGACCAGCCAACCTTCCTATCGACGCGAGAAAACGACTCAGGCACAAAATAAGGTTGAGCCGCGAGCTAGGGGTCGGCCGCCCTCAATAATCCCGGTGGCCCGGCTAGGGAAGGCGAAACGGGAGGCGGAAAAGAATAGGGCAGAAAGAGTGGCGATTTGGGGGAAAAACAGAGAGAGAAAAAAAGCTTTAAAGCATTAATATATTAATAACTTGAAAATTTAAAAGAGTATAATCGAGTGTTAACTGACACGACTGGCATCAGAAAGAGGTATGGACCTGCTGCTTGAATGGTACATTGGAAGAAAAAATTTACATGGAACAACCAGAAAATTTTGTAGTTTCTTGAATAGTAAATTGGAAGAAGAAATTTACATGGAACAACGAGAAGGTTTTTGTACCTGGACAAAAGAAAAATTACATGCTTACATTTGATTCCCACTCATATGGGGATTGTTAGAAAGCCAATTAAATAAATTGGGTTTCACCCGATTTGGACTGATCTTTTAAGGCTAAATATTTAATTCCCACTACATTTCAAGTAGATACTCGGGGTATATTTATTTTCTCAAAATTGATTTTTTATAAGTGATAAATAAATTATTAAATTTAGCCATTAATGACATATAAGACGTTGGTTGTGAGATTCAAAGGGTTAAGAGTTGTAACCACATTGTACTTTTAAATGAGGATAACTCTTTTTATTATAATAAAGAGATTTGAAGAGGTCAAAACAACAACAAAATTATGCACCAAATGTTGGTGTTGATTTCGATCACACGCGCAACTCCAATGGCCAGCCGACTTGGTTCAGCTCAGGTACGGGCACGGGCACAAACCTTAGCCTTGACTTGAATCTTGGACCTTGGTACATAGAAAATGGATTGTGGGATGAACATGGTGGCCTTGGACAGCCTAGACCAGTTTTGGGCTTGGGCCCTTGGCCCAACCACTATATTCTTTTTACTACAATAATATTTGGAAAGTTCTGGCCCAAATTGAGTTGGGATTTAGACTCGAGTTTTGACCCAACCCATGTGGACCTCCCTAAATATGATGTATCTGGACACGTTGACTTCACCTTACAGTTTGAGAAGTTATTAGGTGGAGTAGTAGTGTGTTAACACCTAAAAACGGTCTGGTTGTTTTTATGCCAATTAGAACTGAAAACGGTCTTAGGATTTTCTCAAATTTTCACTTTTGGCGTGTGTTCCAATTGTTGGAGCCGAATACATTGGATACGAAAGCTTACAATTTCTATCGTTTTTGTTAGTTTTTATTTCTCAATTCTTATTTTTGATTGATTGCGAGTTTTAATTTCAATTAACGTGGAATCCCATCGAGCATGAGTTAATTCATCCACTAAGGGATAAAAATTTTGATTCTTGTCTTAAATTTTTGTTGATTGTGACGTAGTTCATGGCTGCTCGAATCGTTTGATTAAATTTATTAGTTGCTTGATCACCATCTAACCTAAATAGATAACCTACAATTCGAAAGGAGATATGGTATCCGATCATGGTTCGAATATGGTATACGTAATCATAATTGTATCGTTTACGGGTTCATTGACTGAAATACGTATTTCTCTATGTCACATCTCGTGTTCGTAAACATATCGAGGCAGATCTCTAGGTTTGTGTGTATGCTGTTATTTATTCGTTTATGTTCAATAACTTGTTTTGAAAGTTAGTGGGAGTGAATCACTGCGTTTAGGTTAATGCCTCAGTCTTTAGACTGAACGATTTTACGTTCAACGTAGATTTAGGATTTGATTAAATTATTCTTGATTCCACAGGCCTTCTTTTACTTATCTAGTTATTTTATTGTTATTTAATTATTTTATAATTCTTAATAGTTTCTAGATAATCTCTCCCAAACTTACTTGATTAGTATGTTTAGGACCTTATTTTTTTTCGTGTGTAATTGACATTATTTCTATACTTTGGACCGCCTTCCTCAAGAGATCAAAGAGGTCGGGATTCATTCCATACTCGGTAATAAAACATAATTCGCTACAATATGGGCAACTATAAATCCCACAAGGCCGCGAATTGAGATGTAGCTAAAAACTTGTTACTCAAGCTTGTTTTAATTATAAATATACAAATTATCCATTCACAACACATGTTCTGATACTACATTTAAGCATAATTACAGTTCGTTACATGCTAGTTTTAATTATATAAACAAATTATTCATTCACGACACATGTTCTTATATCACATGTAATTACCGATCTTAAATAAATAATTTGTGTATATGAAATACTTACTTGATACGTAATAATGTACAAATTAATTTTTCTCAGAGAACAAATTTACTAATTCTGCATACCCTAATATTGGTGGACAGATTAATTTATAGAGGTTGATATTAGATATTTTATGTCTAATATCTAAATTAATTGTTTAGATTTGTTAGCTCAATAAAATAATTCATTGTGAGGCTAACGCTGGGCGGGCATATATAATCAAACCTGTGCTAATCGAAAGACGACGATTGCTCGATGATGACCCTTCCAATTTGGGACCGCTCACATTTTATCCATTCAAATACTGCACTTCACTTTCTTCATTTTTCAGTAAGCTCAAAAAAGCACAAACATGGCGGAAACAAGGCCTCAAATGCCGAGAGTCCGATTGCATTATCTGCTGTTCCTGTTTCTCGTTCTAATCCGGTTGGACCAGGCATTTTCGCAATCGACCGTCAAAACCCTGCCGGGCTACCCTGGAAACCTGCCTTTCAAACTCGAAACCGGGTCGGATTTTTAGAGACAATTTTTGCCGGTTTACTTCATTTCCATTTTTTCTTTTTTGGGCTAAAGATTTTCTTGTTCGAATTTGTGGAAGCAGATACATCGGCGTAGGAGAAAAGGAGGAGGTTCAGCTGTTTTACTACTTCATCGAGTCCGAAAATGACCCGCGAAGGGACCCTCTGGTGCTTTGGCTCACCGGCGGGCCGGGATGCTCGGGTTTTTCCGGCCTTGTTTACGAAATCGGTGGGTTTTTTTAGCCATCTGTTTTAAGGAGCGAGCTGGAAATGTTATGCTCTGCTTGTTTTTCAGGCATTACTTGTTCACCCAATTTTCCAGTTGCAGTCACGAATTTGTAATTAAAATTTTCCAAAAAAGAAATGTAATTTTTCAAAAAAAGAAAAAAAAATGGAAATCATAGTTACATCCCGTTTGTTGCCTGAAAAAAAGAATAATTGATGGATAAACACACTGATTGCAGGGCAGATCGTGATTTTACATGACAGTTATCCTCACTATAGTAATGCCTAACTCCTATTTAGCCCTTTCCCCTTTCATTTATCATCTTCCTTTTTACCTTTTGATGTTTAGATGAACTGTTAAGTCCATGCTAAGTTAAATCTTGTGATGGTTGATATTAACATAACTACTTGTAGTTTATACAGTTCTTTCCTTTTATATAATTCTTGNGTTTTCTTTACCTTCATTTTTTTTTATGTATTCCCGATTTTTGTAGGTCCATTGGCCTTTGATCTTGAGAATTTCGATGGAAGCCTTCCATCATTACTTTTAAATCCTTACTCATGGACAAAGGTTCGGAACTGCTTAATTGCTTATATTTAACTTGTATAATGTTTGTGAACATAGAATAATAGTATGTATTTTCATAGGTTGCCAACATTATATTTATAGACTCTCCTGTCGGCACTGGATTCTCATATGCAACCACATCCGAAGGTTACTACTCGTCCGACACTAAATCAGCCAAAGATTGTTACACTTTTATGCAAAAGGTAATAAGGCCGAAAAAACAACTTTTGTTCTTTTTGTTCGTTTCAGTTTTCGTAGAATCAGCAGAAAGAAATTTAGACCAGGTCTTTTTATCAATAGTTTATACTCGGTAACTTATTCATATGGAATGGCCAACTTTTGAGGTAATATTGAATGTAAAAATAACATGCAGTGGTTGTCGATTCACCCAATGTTTATCAAGAATCCCCTTTATATTTCCGGTGACTCTTATGGAGGCAAAATTGTACCCATGGTTGCTGTGGAAATAGCAAAAGGTCTCCATTACTACTATAACTGAATACTTTTTTTTTTTTTTTCATGCCTATGTCATGAACAGGGATTATATTTGTCTTAAAAAAGGTTTTGAAACCCTTGGTCTTGATTTTCAGGTAATGAAGCTGGAAATCAGCCACGAATGTTACTTCAAGTAGGTGTTGTTTCTTGTAATCTTGTTTTGGCCTCAACTTTTGTTAATAGTTTTCCCAAGCATTGATTAATTAGCATGGAAAATAGTTTTGAAAATAGAGAATAAAAATGTTAACCAGGGTTATTCAGTTGGGAATTCAATAACCAATCTAAGCAAGGATGACAATGAAAAGATTCCTTATGCGCACAGGATGGCACTCATATCTGATGAATATTATGAGGTTTTGTCTTTCTTTCCGTTGTATGATTATATATATAAGATTAGTATACAAAACATTTACATTGAGAACTATGTCTCGCATTAGAAAATGTGAAATTATTGATTAACTCGAAAAAAAATATCTCAGCTAGCAAAAAGCAGCTGTCGTGGAGAGTATGTGAATCCAGATCCAAACAATATACTATGCATTTTAGCTCTTCAGCTTGTCAAACAGGTAAAAAGTCACATTCTCGTATCTTATAATTCTTACGTGCAAGTCAACTGGGTGTTTGAGAAACTAAAATGATTCTCCTTTGTACTATATCATAAATGCAGTGCACGGATCTTGTCTACACGAATCATATTCTTGAGCCCACATGCTTATTCATCACACCGAAACCTAATAATCATACATGGGGCACACACTTACTAGATGATCCAGTTCACGATCTCCTCTTCCTGTCCAAACAAGACGCACCTAAGTGCCGTGTAATTTTTTCCTGCCTTCTTCTTTCGACATTGTTCTTTATAGTTATAATACATAAGAAGTCCCTTGTAGTTTAATTTTAGTATATGAAACCCATGATAGTTGAGTTCTGCTTAAAATATTTGTCGATTTCCTGTTTTCCAAGTGAATTGTATTACTCCTTACTTACTAGGCTAGATTCAAAAACCACATTTTGGGATTTAATTGCATTTTATTTATTTATTTATGTTGTTGTTCCTTTTGTTGTGTGCGCATCTGATCCTATCATCTATAGAGTTTCCAACGTAGATATGTCTTTTCTTTTTGCAGAATTTTAATTATGTGAGTTCTCACGTCTGGATGAACGATGAAACTGTACGAGAAGCTCTTTATATCAGAAAGGTATCTATTAGGAGGAACAAAACATATATATTTTTTTTTTCGTTACATTGCTTGCCGTAATGTAATTTTGTGTTGGATGAAAATCAGGGAACGATAGGCGATTGGAAAAGATGCAATCTAGCATTAAAAGGGTATGAATACGATGTGGAGAGTGTTTTTAGAGATCATCAACTACTGAATGAGAAAGGCTTCCAAACATTGGCTTACAGGTGAGTTGAAAGAGCTATATTCATTCGGCTAAACTTTTATTTAGGCCAAATTACCATAATGACCCGGCAGTTCGTCTGGATTATATTAAAGTACACTCTAATTAATTGTTTCCTCTCTATGATTATTAAAATTCATGTCACAAGATTGACTTCAGTATGTCATGTTAATTGCTTGAAGATCAAGAAATTAGTGTGAGTTTGTCGGTTGATTTAAAAGCCGTGATATTTCTTACAGCGGTGATCATGACATGTTTTTACCTTACTTGAGCACTTTGAGATGGATACGCGAACTAAATCTCACGATTGATAGCGCATGGAGGCCTTGGACTGTAGATGGTCAAGTAGCTGGGTTAGTGTTTTTGTTGTTACTTAGCATTTGTATTATGGCACAGAAAGCACTAAAGGCGACTGATAGTGAAAAATTAACTTCACAATCGATACCTAAAATTGTTCATTGCAGATATACAGAGACATATAAGAACAATGAGGCTTATATAACTTTTGCCACGGTGAAGGCAAGTTTCTTTTTTAAAACATGTTTTAGTTTTCAAGTANACAATGACGCTTATATAACTTTTGCCACGGTGAAGGCAAGTTTCTTTTTTAAAACATGTTTTTAGTTTTCAAGAAATTGGAAGTGTTGTTTTTATTTATTTAGTTATTTGTTTGTATGATTTATGGTGCTTGTGAATGTTTGCAGGGTGCAGGTCATACAGCTCCAGAGTACAAGCCTAAAGAAAGTCTTGCAATGTTTGAACGATGGATAGGTCTATCCCCTTTGTAGAAAAATTAGTGCACACTAGTACGTAACCAGTGAGATGCACGGACGGTATTTATTTAAAAAAAATTAATAAATTGAAGGTTATTCGACAGTAAAAGAGTTATCATACGTAGAGCAATTATCCAATTATATAATGTTCGTCATAAATAATATAATATATTATTGAAAACTTTATCGTACACAATATTATTATTAGTTTGATTATTCAACAATTCGTCATCCCCAAAACTAATATAATCCTTTTCTATTAGTTACAAGTGATACAACAACATATATTGGTCTTGAGTTGGTTTGTACTTTTTTAAAGAACAAACCAACATACGATAAAGACTATCACTAACTTCTGTTTATGGTCTTGACATACGGAACCATATGGGAAAATTTCTTCCGTTAGAACTTAAACGAAACCCTAACATTGAAATGAGTTATGTTCATTCGATGAATCAATAGGTGAGAGTGATCTCCAATCAATATTTTACATTCAAGCAAATGAGTGGAGAGCTTGGTAACAATCAAGCGGGTCTAGTTGTACAGTCTCATAGAATGGTTCATGCTCTGTAATATAACTGGAGTTTCTATTTTCAGATGCAACTCATTGTTCGGAGTTCTCGAACACTTGATGTAGCTTCACGAACTGAGGCGTGTGGAGGTTTGACAAAAAGTCATTGTTTGATTCGAACTTACATGTACTGTTAGAACTCAAATACTTATGACCTCTAGCCGAATTCATCTCTGAATTCTTTGTCTGCATGACAAATACCCTATGTATAGTGTTGACAGGCCTATGCATCTTATCCCCAAAGACATAACGACAAACGTCTCGAAGGCTGTAGCACACTAGACTTCAGAGCTCCGACGAACTAAAATAGAGTTGAGGACTGAGCTCTGTATGTATGATGCATTAGGCTATCAGTAAGGAGTTAAGATGCAAATGTTTGTTAAGGATGTTTGATGCAACCTCAGAACTCCTATTTTATAGAGTTTCAGCTCAGGCAGGGGATACCAGGGGTTAGTTGCCACTTAAGGCTGGTAATAGACCAATGGTTGTTACTGTAAAGGCATTAAAACGGTCACACGGTTTTCAGGTGTTAATACACCACTACTCCACCTGATAACTTATGAAACGGTCAGGCGGAGTTAATAAAGACCAGACACAATGTATCTGGAAAGGCTTGACAAGGGTTGAGTTGAAACCTGAGTTCAATCCAACTGGTTTGAATTTTAATTTGAGCCTCAATTTCGCAAATAACTTTGCAAGAAAAAGATTGTGGGGACTAGGCCCAATGCTTAAGCCCAACACCAAACCCAAACCATCCAAAACCCAAGTCCAGTCCACAGTCCAATTTCAAGTACTAAGGAACAAGGCATGTACCCATGCTCGAGCCGAGCCGAGTCGGCCGACCAATCGGTAGGAGCGCTCACGTGTGCGGCCTAATTCATCACCAACACAGTGTCCTTAAAACAGATTCGCCCGTTATGAACGTATGTTTCCAAGGATACAACGGCAAAACTGAATAAAATTCGACGAACTGAAATTATGCCTAGACTTGATATTTTAGCAACTAGAGAAGAAAGATTTTTTTTTTTTTTTTTTTAACACAAATGTCGCACCCTTTATATAGGCACAAACATGATGCCTATGTTAAAAATCAATTAATCTGTCTTCTTCAAATGAAGAAGACATATGTTTGTTCTTTCCTCATTTCACCCCATTAAAGTCCTAACTTCATGAATTAATTTGTAGTGCAGTTAAAACTCCCACCACAACAATTTACTTTGTTTATTTTTCTTACATCAGTCGTCTCAATAAAATAATCGACTTGGGTGGGCACATACAAACCAAACTGTAGTAATGGAAGACGCCGATTGCTCGATGATGTCCCTTTCAAATTGGGACCACTTACATGTTGTCAATTCAAATACTGCACTTCACCTTGTTCAGCTAACAATATGCTAAAAAAGGCACAAACATGGCGAATACAAGGCCTCAAATGCCGGGAGCCCGGTCGCATTATCTGCTGTTCCTGGTTCTCCTTCTACTCCGGTTCGACCCGGCATTTTCGCAGTCGACCGTCAAGACCCTGCCGGGCTACCCTGGAAACCTGCCTTTCAAACTCGAAACCGGGTCGGATTCTTAGAGACAATTTTTCCCGGTTTACTTGATTTCCATTTTTTTTTTTTGCCAACTGATTTTCTTTTTCGAATTTGTTGAAGCAGGTATATCGGCGTTGGAGATAACGAGGAGGTTCAGCTGTTTTACTACTTCATCGAATCGGAAAATGATCCGCGAAGGGACCCTCTGGTGCTTTGGCTCACCGGCGGGCCTGGCTGCTCGGGGTTTTCCGGCCTAATTTACGAAATCGGTGAGTTTTTTTAACCATCTATTTTAAGGAGCGAGCTGGAAATGTTATGCTCTGCTTGTTTTCACCCAAATTTTGGGGTAAATTCCAGTTGCAGTCACGACTTTGTAATTAAAATTGTCCAAAAAAGAAATGCAATTTTCAAAAAATAAATAAAAATTGGAATCTTAGTTTCATCCCCTTTGTTGCCTTAAAAAAGATAATTGATGGATAAACACCACTGATTGCAGTGCAGATCGTGATTTTACATGACAGTTATCCTCACTATAGTTAAATGCCTAACTCCAATTTAGCCCTTTCCCCTTTTATTTATCACCGTCCTTTTCACCTTTTTTGATGTTTAGATGAACTGATGAAGTCCATGCTAAGTTACATCTTCTGATGGTTGATATTAACATAACTACTTGTAGTTTATACGGTTCTTTCCTTTCATATAATTTTTGTTTTCTTTACCTTCATTTTTTTTTATGTATTCCCGATTTTTGTAGGTCCATTGGCCTTTGATCTTGAGAATTTCGATGGAAGCCTTCCATCATTACTTTTAAATCCTTATTCATGGACAAAGGTTCGGAACAACTATAGATGCTCGACCACAACTGCTTGCTTAATTGCTTATCCTTAACTTGTATAATGTTTGTGAACATAGAATAATACTTATTTTCATAGGTTGCCAATATTATATTCATAGACTCCCCTGTCGGCACTGGATTCTCGTACGCAAACACGTCCCAAGGTTACTACTCGTCCGACACTAAATCAGCAAAAGATTGTTACACTTTTATGCAAAAGGTTCTGTTCTTTTTGTTCGTTTCAGTTTTTGTAGAATCAGCAGAAAGAAATTTAGAGCGGGTCTTTTTATCGATAATTTATATTCGCTATCTTATTCCTATGGAATGGCCAACTTTTGAGCTAATATTGAATTTAAAATAAAAATGCAGTGGTTGTTGATTCACCCCATGTTTATCAAGAATCCCCTCTATATTTCCGGTGACTCTTATGGAGGCAAAATTGTACCCATGGTAGCCATGGAAATAGCAAAAGGTCGCCTTTAAGACTATAATTGAATACAATATTTCTTTTTTTCATGCCTATGTTTTAAACAGTGCCCTGCAGTTTAGGGTTACTTACGAAAATATCGGAAAAAAAGTTTAGAAACCCTTGTCTTGATTTTCAGGTAATGAAGCTGGAAATCAGCCACGAATGTTACTTCAAGTAAATGTTGTTTCTTGTAATCTCGTTTTCGGCCTCAACTTTTGTTATAGTCTTCCCATTAATTAGAATGGTAACAGTTCTGAAAATAGAAAATTAAATGTGAGCAGGGTTACTCAGTTGGGAATTCAATAACCAATATAAGCAAGGATGACAATGAAAAGATACCTTATGCTCACAGGATGGCACTCATATCTGATGAATATTATGAGGTATTATTGTCTTTCTTTCCCTTGTGTGATTATGCTGTAGAAAATATTAGTATGCAAAAAGAGACATTTTGACCTTCCGAATTATGTCTCACATTGGAAAACACGAAATTCTCGATTTAACCCCCTAAAAAATTATCTCAGCTAGCAAAAAGCAGCTGTCATGGAGAGTATGTGAATCCAGATCCACAAAATATACTATGCATTTTAGCTCTTCAGCTTGTCAAACAGGTAAAAAGTTACATTTTCGTATCTTATCTTATAATTCTTACGTGCCAGTCAACTGGGTGTTTGAGAAACTAAAATTATTCTCCTTTGTACTAATATCATAAATGTAGTGCACGGATCTTATCTGGGGGAATCATATTCTTGAGCCCAAATGCTTATTCAGCACACCGCAACCTAATGATCATATGTGGGGCTCACACTTACTAGAAGATCCAGTTGACAATCTCCTCTTCCTGTCCAAACAAGACGCGCCTAAGTGCCGTGTAAGTTTTTCCTGCCTTCTTCTTTCGACATTGTTCTTTATAGTTATACTACAAAAAAAGAGTCCCATGTAGTTTAATGTAATTATAAGAAACGTATGATAGTTTAGTTCTGCTTAAAATAATTGTCGATTTCCCGTTTTCCAAGTGAATTGTAGTACTCCCTTAGTTATTAGACTAGATTCAAAAACCATATTTTGCGATTTGCCTTTTTTATTTATGTTGTTGTTGTTCCTTTTATTGTGTGTGCACCTGGTTCTATCATCTATAGAATTTCCCAACGTAGATATGTCTTTTCTCTTAGCAGAACAATAATTATGTGAGCTCTTACGTCTGGATGAATGATGAAACTGTGCGAGAAGCTCTTTATATCAGAAAGGTATCTATTAGGAGGAACAAAACATTTTTTTTTTTCGTTACGTTGCTTGCCATAATGTAATTTTGTGCTGATGAAAATCAGGGAACGATAGGCGATTGGAAAAGATGCAATAAAACACTAAAAGGCTATGAATCCGATGTGGAGAGTGTTTTTAGAGATCATCAACTACTAAATGAGAAAGGCTTCCAAACATTGGCTTATAGGTGTGTTGAAAGAGCTGTATTCATTCGACTAAACTTTTATTTAGGTCAAGTTACTAATATAACCTGGCAGTTCGTCCCGATTAAACTAAAGTACACTCTAATTAATTGTTTCCTCTCTATACAACAACAATAACAACATACCCAGTATATTCCCAACAGTATATTCCCAACAGGTTGGGGTCTGGAGGGTCAGTTGTACGCAGACCTTACCCTTGTAATTATACAAGGGGGCTGTTTCCACAGCGACCCAAGGTGCATTGCGCCGTTTGATATATATTTTTTTTCTAGAAACTTCACTAATAGATCACTAATAGAAGAAGCACTAGAATTTAATTGAGCCATTTTGATCTAGTCCATTATTAGCACTATGCCATGAGAATTTTCAACAAATGACTCTTCCAGCTCCATTTGCAATGGATAATATTGTTTCCTCTATGATTATTAAAAATTCATGTCATAAGATTGACTTCAGTATGTCATGTTAATTGCTTGAAGATCAAGAATATTAGTGTGAGTTTGTCGGTTGGATTTAAAAGCCGTGATATTTCTTACAGCGGTGATCATGACCTCACTGTACCTTACTTGAGCACTTTGAGATGGATACGTGAACTAAATCTCACGATTGATAGCGCTTGGAGGCCTTGGACTGTAGATGGTCAAATAGCTGGGTTAGTGCTTTGTCGTTGTTGACCATTTTTTTTATGGCACAGAAAACACTAAACGGGGACTGATAGTGAAAAATTAACTTCACAATTGATATGTAAAGTTGTTCATTGCAGATATATAGAGACATATAAGAACAATGACGCTTATATAACTTTTGCCACGGTGAAGGCAAGTTTCTTTTTTAAAACATGTTTTTAGTTTTCAAGAAATTGGAAGTGTTGTTTTTATTTATTTAGTTATTTGTTTGTATGATTTATGGTGCTTGTGAATTTTTGCAGGGTGCAGGTCATACAGCTCCAGAGTACAAGCCTAAAGAAAGTCTTGCAATGTTTGAAAGATGGATACGTCGATCCCCACTGTAGACAAATTAGTGCACGTAACCCGTGAGATACATGGGGGATATTTATGGAAGGAAGATTAATAAATTGAAGGCTATTCAACAGTATACATGGGTGATATTTATTGAAGGAAGATTAATAAATTGAAGGCTATTCAACAGTGAAAGCGTTATCATACGTAAATCAATTACATAATTATATGATGTTCGTCATGAAAAATATAATATGTTACTGAAAATTTAATTGTATATAATATTATTAGTTTGATTATTGAGTAATTCGTCATTCCCACAACCTAATATGTTTAATCATTTTCTATTGGTTATATATAACAACATATAACTGGTAGTGACCAAAAGTTAGTTTTTTAAAGTACAAACCAACATGCGATAAAGACTATCACTAACTCTTGTTTATGGTCATGACTAGGGTTGCAAACGAGTTCTCCCGAGCGCTCGAGTCAAAGCTCGACTTGAGCGGCTCGAGCACTAACTCGAGTCGAGCGCGAGTCCATATTTTGTCTTGTCCAACGGCTCATCGAGCGGATCGAGATACATGTTGAATTACTAAAATACCCCTTATATATATTAGCATAGATGCTTAATGGTAATTTTCACCTTTCCAGTTAAAAATTTTCGAGTCAAGCTTGAGTATTTTGATTTCAAGTCGAGCTCGAGCCGAGCTCGAATTATTGTAAATTTTTATCGAGTCGAGCTCGAGCCTAAATAATCGAGCTCGAGCACCTGAAAAAAAAAAAATCAATCCTGCTCGATAAGACTAATGTTCGACTCGGCTCGGCTCGTTTGCAGCCCTAGTCATGACATACAAAACCACAAGGGGAAACTGTTTCTGTTGAAACTTAAACGAAATCCTAACATCCGAACGAGTTATGTTCATTTGATGAATCAATAGGTGAGACATGTTTTATGTAAGTTTGGACAATTTAAATTTTATATAACATTTTAAATTGTATTACTTATTGATTCTATATTTTAACTTATAAATATTTTTTAATGAGTATTTTTAATTTATAAATTTTAATGAATATCTCTTACCCGTATATCACAAGGTTTCGTACTAATAGTTGTAGTTGTATAAGCCAAATTGCTCTTAAAAGAGACGTTGAATTGTATATACAATTACATTGTACGGTTGCTTGATGATGACCCTTCCAATTTGGGACCGCTTACTTTTTTATCTATTCAAATAATGCACTTCACCTACTTCAGCTAACAATAAGCTCATTAAACATGGCAAACACAAGGCCTCAAATGCCGAGAGCCCGGTTGCCTTATCTATTGTTTCTCGTTGTAATGCGGTTCGACCCGTCATTTTCGCAGTCGACAGTCGAGACCCTGCCGGGCTACCCTGGAAACCTGCCTTTCAAACTCGAAATCGGGTCGGATTCGAGACAAATTTTCCGGTTTATTTCATTTCCATTATTTCTTTTTTTTTTTGTTTTTGTTTTTGTGCTAACAGATTTTCTTTTTCGAATTTAAGGAAGCAGGTACATCAGCGTCGGAGAAATGAGGAGGTTCAGCTGTTTTACTACTTCATCGACTCGGAAAATGACCCGCGAAGGGACCCTCTGGTGCTTTGGCTCACCGGCGGGCCGGGCTGCTCGGGTTCTTCGGGCTTAATTTACGAAATCGGTGGGTTTTTTTAGCCGTCTTTTTTAAGGAGCGAGCTGGAAATGTTATGCTCTGCTTGTTTTTCACCCAATTTTGGGGTAAATTCCAGATGCACTTGTAGTCACGAATTTGTAATTAAAATTTTTCCAAGAAGTAAAGTAATTTTCAAAAAAGAAAATCGAGTATTGAAATTTTGAGTGATATTTTAAAACATGTTGAGATTTTAATATTTTAAAATCTATACTTATATTAAAGGGATACTATTTACCAAATTAAGTAGTCAGAAAAGTCAACAGCATTTATTGTATTACTATTTCCGTATTATACTATATAAAAAGATATTCTATTTACTACATTTATTATCCAGAAAAGTCAACTGCATTAAATGTCATTACTATTTTGGTATTATAATATTTTATTTATTTAATTGATTTATTTATTTATTTTATTTTAAAAAGGTAAGTATAATATAAAGATTTTAATAATAAAAAAATTAAATACCGAATAAAAATGTACTCTTTGATTTATTTGATTATATTTGGTATTTGATTATACCAAATATATTCCTATTTAGTATATACATTAAATACTTACTAAAGTATTTATTTGTTTTATTTGTCAAAGTTAAGTATAGATTTGTTTATATTATCAAATCATAAAAAAATATTAAATCCATATTGTAAAAAAAAAAAATCATATAATTTTATAACAATTCTACTACACTATTTAACAATATTTCTTTTTTATTATATAATAAAATAATAATTAAATATTATATGGTGAACAACAATAAGTAAAACTGTTACTTTCTCTTATATCAAGGGATAAATTTATATGCTAAAATTAAATTTTTATTAGTATAAATGTTTTAGTGAGATAATATATTAATTATTTTACAAGCTAGCCCTAACATGCTCATATTTAATGTTTTAAAAGATGTAGAAAGAAAACTTATAATAACTCTATTGTTTTTTAGACTTAAACGTTGATTAAAAGAGGTAAAAATTCCTAATTTTTTAGACTTAAACGTTGATTAACACCATAGATTGAGAGTTTATATTTAGTAAAATTCCTAATTGTAATAAAAAAATAATTTTTGCTATATTTTAGAATATCTTTAAATTCATTATAAAAAAAAGAAAAAAAAAAACTACAATGAAAAAAACAAGTCAGCTATATATCGATTTGTTGTATTCCTCAAATCACATTCACAATTTGGCTACAAAGAAAGGAAACTCATTGATTAAAATATTATTTTGTCAGTAGTGTTAATGTACAAGATACTTTAAGACTCCACTTGAATATTATAAAACTTTTATTGAACATTGTATAATTTTTTGCATATTATAAACATTTATTGAATATTGCACCTTATAATATAATATTCTCCAAATAAATATATCTCGTGCTTCGCACGTACTATATATATCCCGTACATTTTTTTTCTTTATTCATGTATATAATTATAAACCTGGATAAATAGACTTAAAATTATGCACCCCGTGCATCGCACGGGCTCTGTACTAATTTTTAATTTAAAAGGAACCTATATATATCTTTATAAAAAGATTTAACATTTATTTAAAATAATACGAGTAATTTTTCACTAAACACTTTTAGTTGCTAAAAAAGAAAATTTTGTAGATTTTCTATATNAATTACTCAAATTAAATTATTAATAAGTGTTTAACAATATATAAATTAATATTCATATTAATTTATCTTAAGCTACATATATAAAATGAGAATATATTAAAGCACTTAATAATAACATACTACAAAAAAAAACATTAATTGATATGCAAAATATTTTTGCTATGTAGTAACTCGTGATGGTATCAACATTACTACTACTTTTAGTTTGCAGATCATATTTACTGTTAACTTCACTATAGATGAAATTCTATATACGTCATTAGTGAAAAGTGGCACATGAATCTATCAGTGAAAGTCAACGCCTCTTCCAACTCCATTGACCCTAAGGTAGATCCGCCGGATCCCAGCAAGGATGTCGATATGGCCTTCCCTGAACTAACAAAAGCTAATCCGCCCAACTCGGTTAACAACCACAAGTCCAAAAAATGAAGATCTGATCTGGAACGTGAGGTTCCCCTTGCACACTTGGGCACACCACCGGATTTCGCTCCGTCTCAGCCACCCAGTATGAAGGCTGCTCCAAGGCCATCCTTTAAAGATACTCTGAGCAAGAATCGGCCACTTGTAGAACTGCTGTCATATGATGAGGAGGACTATGATGTATCAGATGTTTTTGTAGATTTTGATCCCCCTGTTCCAGATCTGAAGATGTCGGAGAAGTTTTATGAGGCGCGGGTGAAACCTTGGAAGAATGCGGTCATCATAAAACTAATCGGGAAAACCATGGGTCTACATTTAACAGACTTGCTTCGATGTCGCCAGGATTACTTAAGGGGGTGTATTTAATTAGGATTTTTAAGGACTTTTTAAGACTTTAGAAATCCTGGTGTATTCAATTTAGATTTGTTAAGACTTTTTAAAACTTTTAAAAATCCTGTGGTATTCAATTGGGATTTTCAAAAGTCTTACAAAATCCTGAGGTATTTAATTTTTTTGACACTAAGATTTATTAAGACTTTTTAAGATTTAGTGGGATTTCTAAACAAAAAACCTTATATGAAATCCCACTTCAAATCTTACCTCCGAACTTGAGATTTCATAGAATTCTTCCAAACTCTGAGAATCCTAGAAAGTCTCAAATCTCGAAAAGTCTTAAAATGTCACTTAAATTCCAAATTGAATACACCCCCCTTAATCCCGAAATGATGGTTGATATGCAAAATGGCTACTTTTCAGTTAGGTTTCTTCAACAAGAGGAGGCGCTTAAGGCACTCACCGGAGGCCCGTGGATAATTAGAACTCACTACCTTCACGTGCAGCCATGGGTAGAAAATTTTGATGTGAAAACCGATGTGATTAAGTCCATTGTGGCTTGGATACAATTGCCAGGGATGCCGGTACATCTATATCATAACAAAGTCTTTAGAACCATTGGTCAAATTGTTGGCAAGGTCTGGAAGATTGATCATCAAACAACTTCCCAAACGAGAGGTCAATTTGCTCGCCTAGCTGTTCAACTGGATCTAACTAAACCTCTGCGGGATCATTTCACTATTCTGGAAAAGTTCAACGGGTGGAATACGAGAGACTACTGGATATTTGCTTTCGTTGTGGGAAATATGGTCATAGAATAGCCACTTGTCCTGACCGGCCAGAATCCAGTTCCACGGCGGCAAGCAAGTCGACGCCGGCTGTAGTGAAGGAACCGACGGGTTACGGGGAGTGGATGGTTGCAAAGATTCGCAATAGGCATTCATATGCCCGAAAGTCTGGGAATCAGGATAATTTCCCAAAACAGAATTCCACCAATCAAGGTGGAGGATCGCATTTTGATGTGCTATCAACTGAATTTGAGGAGATTACTTTTGCAGGGCAAAATAAAAAACCGGGGTATGATAATAGAAGAAAGGGACGTGGCTTTGATCGGGAAAAGGAAAGTCGAATCTTGGTACAGAAAATCGTGTAATGGTCAATAGAAGTGGAAAGAAGGGCAGTGCTATCCTAAACCGTGAAAATATTTCGAATGCAAAAAATGATTATGCTGGGCCTTTTCAATTCAAGCACAATGGGACTGCTAAGGCTTCAAGTGGAACAGGCTCGAGACAGAAGCTAGAGAAGGGTCATCATATGAGCCCAACGAGTCAACCAAAAGATGCTCTTCAAGTAAACCAGAATCAAGTTGGTGTTGAGCCCGTCCATGGGCCGCTTTCCACTCCTGACTTGGACCAAATGGGTGCAACGATTCTAGACGTCCCAACAGTTTTAGACCAGGATAAACATAAGACAGTGATCATATTGGACAACCATGTACCAATATCTGAAGACTCTCTCTCTCCAAACGTAAATGTCACGAATGGAATTACGGGAGTTGAGGGCACGTCCTTGAGCCAACGACCATCTATATCGGCAGACCTTTCTGCCATGGAAGGAGTAGTGGAGAATAATGATCCAAATATTGAGGATACGAATATGATGGGAAATGAACCAGAGGAGACTGTTGTTCCTAACTCGATCTGACAAGATGCACTCTCTCTTTCCTGACTGAGTTTTATAATGATTATATTGACATGGTATACACAGGGGGTATGCTCGAGGAAATTTTGTCGAGCGTTTAAATCCCTCATCCAATCACAAAACCCGGATGTGGTTGCTTTATTTGAACCGCGAATTAGTGGAGTAAAGGCGGATGAGTTCATTCGAAAAAGTGGTTTTGATCGATCCTTCAGGGTCGAAGCTATAGGTTTCTCTGACGGAATATAGGTTTTATGGAAAGAGAGGGTGGACCTGCAGGTTTTTGTGTGTAGGCAACAATATGTGCATACTCGGGTTCAAGAGGATTATGAAAATGTTCTCGTAACCTTTGTATATGCAAGGCCTAATGTCCGTGGTAGACGCTCTTTGTGGCTAGAACTTAATGACATGGCGCCGTCTATTTTCACTCCTTGGCTCATCGGAGGAGATTTTAATACTATGCTCCGACCATCGGCAAAGTCAGGGGGTTCGGCACGTAACAACAATGTTGATTCGGGTTTCACAGATTGGTTTTTTAATAACAACTTGCATGAAGTACGAACAGATGGACTGAAGTATACTTAGGTCCGTGCTAATGTTCAAGAAAAGCTAGACAGATTTATAGCCAATGAATTTTGGGTTGATATATATCCAGATGGCTTCGTCATACACCCTCCACGTCGGAGATCGGACCATTTCCCTTTAGTTATGAGATGTGGTGGTCAACCGCGAGTTATAGCAGGAAGAAAGCCTTTTCGGTTCCTAGCTGCTTGGTTATTGCATGAAGAGTTTGGCGATGTGGTAAAAGGAGCATGGAACGATAGTTCAAACTATGATGAGGCATCGTCTATTTTTGTTGATCGAGCAAAGACCTGGAACACTGAAGTTTTCGGCAATATTTTCCAGAAGAAAAATAGGTTGCTACGCCGCCTTGGAGGAGTTCAGCGTGAATTACAGAAGTACACCACCTTCAGGCTACTTCATTTGGAGAGTACTTTGAATAACGAACTTGAAGGTATTCTGCTCCAAGAAGAGCTGTTGTGGTTGCAGAAGTCCAAAAGAGATTGGTTCTTTTTCGGTGACCGGAATACGTCATTTTACCATCAACAAGTTAAAAATCGTAGGCGCCGAAATAAAATTATTTTTTTGAAAGACACCAATGGTGGTTATTTCGGATCCGCCCGAGCTGAAGAGGATGGCTATTGAATATTTTAGGGATATCTACACGGCTAGGACCGATCCAGAGGAGGCATTGAGCATCCCGAATTTATTTCCTGAAGTTGAGCAGGCTGCCTTGTCAGTGATTGACAAGCCCATTACAGATGAAGATGCATCCTCTAAAGGCACCAGGAGTGGATGGGCTCCATGCGCTATTTTTTTAGAAACAATGGTCGATTGTGGGCCCCTCTGTCTGTGCAATGATACGTCAATTCTTCCGAGATGGTGTCCTGCCTACTTTTTTTAACAAAACACTAATTGTTTTGATCCCTAAAGTGGAAAATCCTGAAACAATTAAGAATTTTTGGCCTATTAGCCTGTTGAATGTGGTGTACAAATTGGTTACAAAAATTTTGACTAATAGGATGAAGAGTATTTTACCCAGGTTGATTGGTCCGGCTCAAGTAAGTTTCGTACCTGGTCGCTACATTACCGACAATATTATAGTGGCTCAGGAATTAATTCATACGATGAAAGAAAACGGGGAAAAAGGGATACATGGTGGTGAAGGTTGATCTCGAAAAGGCATACGATTAAGTGAGATGGGATTTTTTGAAAGAAACATTGTTTTTAGCGGGTTTCCCGCCTCACTACAACCAGTTGGTAATGGCCTGTGTTACCTCGGCTTCTATGCAGCTATAGTTTAATGGTGTAGTTACTGAAGAGTTTTGCCCGTCTCAAGGTGTTCGACAAGGAGACCCTATTTCTCCTTATCTATTTGTGCTATGCATAGAGAGGTTAGCCCATTTAATCTCTACCAAAGTTTCAACAAGGCAGTGGAGGTCTATTTGGCTGGGTCGAGGAGAAGAGAAGGTTGATGTCTCTTACCTTCTATTTGCGGACGATCTCCTCTTATTTGTTGAAGCCACTTATGATCAAGCTATTCTGGTGAAATCTGTTTTGAACGAGTTAAAGGTGAGTGAAGGAGCGCGCATCTTCTTCTCGAATAATGTACCTCAAGCCAGTAGGCAATTGCTTGCCTTATACATGGCTTATACAGAAGTGGACGAGCTTGGCCTCTACCTTGGTATGCATTTGGTTCATGGAAGAGTCAACAAAAACATGTACCAAAGAATCCTAGATAAAGCAGAATCTCGATTATCGAATTGGAAAGCTTCCTCTTTGTCACTAGCGGGATGACTTGTCCTCACTCAGTCAGTCCTTAGCACTTTGCCTTTCTATTCTATGCAAATTGTGTGGTTACCTCGCTCAATCTTAGACGAGCCCGCTTTATTTGGGGAGGTACTACAACACATAGGAAGGCTTCTTTGGTCTCGTGGGAGATTGTATGTAAATCGAAGGAGGCAGGTGGGTTAGGCCTCAAGGGCCATAGGAAAATGAATGATGCTCTCCTTATGAAATTAGGCTGGCAACTCCTCACGAGACCCGACACCTTATGGGTACGAGTCATGAAAGCTAAGTATAAATTGAATTTTTCGAGTTTAGCTAACGGGAACTTACCGAAGGGGTCCGTTACTATGAGAGCCTTGGGAAAATTTGGGTGATCTTGATGAAAGGAGTAAGGTGGTCAGTCAGAGATGGACACAAAATTAAGTTCTGGCAAGACCGATGGTTACACGCTGACGTAACCTTACTTCAGGTTTGCACGGGTGTCGTACCACAGCCGTTCATCAACTGGACGGTAGCAAATTATTGTACCGAAGATGGAAAATGGCGTTGGAATCTTTTTTTGAATTTGTTACCTGCCAAAATGCTGCTTCGAATAGCAGCGGTGCCGCCACCGGGTGTAACAAGTGAACCTGATTTGGTGTACTGGGGATTTTCGGCGGATGGGCGGTTCACTACGAAATCTGCCTACGACTCCCTTTCCGGTGACGCGACTACGACTATTTTTTGGTTGTGGCGAGTTATTTGGAAATGGGTTGGCCCCCAACGGATAAGGAAATTTATGTGGCTGGTGGCAAAAGATTGCTTGATGACAAATTCTGAATGTTTTCGTCGACACCTTTCTTCCTCGCCTACATGTGACCTATGTGGCCTAGCTCCAGAAATGACGTTGCACACCCTGCGAGACTGTCCGAAGGCAGTACAAGTTTGGAAAAGTCTAATTCCAGGTAATAAACTTTCAAACTTTTTTTTTTCTTTCGAATTAAAACAGTGGCTATGGTACAACCTATGCTCGGTTGATGCCAAAGGAATGGAGGACTGGAGCTGCATTTTTGGGGTGACAATGTCGAGAATTTAGTATGCGAGAAATTGTCATATTTTTAAAAATGAAGAGTTTCATGTAGAAAATCGTTTGAGAGAGGTGAACCTGCATGTTATGGGGATCAAGTCTGCTATTTTACATGGGAAAAAAATTTTAAGTAGTGGTATCACACGAGAGAATCGCATGATTCGTTGGCTAGCACCGCCCAAGAAGTGGTTTAAATTGAACTCAGATCGGGCCTTTAATAAGTCCACTGGAATGGCTAGTGCTGGTGGGTTGATCTGCAACTCTTGTGGCCAATGGGTTAGTGGTTTTATAGTGAATATTGGTTTCACAACAGTCGCCGGTGCCGAATTATGGGGTCTCTTTCAGGGGCTTCAACTGGCATGGAACTTGGGATGATCTAAGGTTATTGCCTCAGTCGACAACCAGGGAGTTGCTCAAATGATAAATGGGCAGCATGATGGCTTGGGGATGCATGGAAGTTTAATCAGAGGGATACGAGAACTGATTGCGAGGAAATGGAATGTTCAACTGGTGCATGTTTATATGGTTCTTTTCTTTAATACTATTTTATATGGTTCTTCATTGTAGATGAAGTCCATGCTAATTGCTAAGTTAATCAACATTATTACTACTTTTTGTTTATATGGTTCTTTTCTTTAATACTATTTTTGTTTTCTTCTCCTTTATTTTTTTGATGTATTACAAATCTTTCAGGTCCTCTGGCCTTTGATCTAGAGAATTTCGATGGAAGCTTTCCATCGTTAATTTTAAATCCTTATTCATGGACAAAGGTTGCTCGACGACAACTGCTTAATTGCCTATCTTTAACTTGTATAATGTTAGTAAACAAACAATATGTATTTTCATAGATTGCCAATATTATATTCATAGACTCCCCTTTTGGCACTGGATTCTTATATGCAAACACGTCCAAAGGTTACTACTCATCCGACACTAAATCAACAAAAGATATTTACACTTTCATGCAAAAGGTAATTAGCCAAAACAACACAGTTTCAATTCAGTTTTTCCTAGAATCAGTAGAAAGCAGTATCAATAATTTATACTCTTAACTTATTCCTATGGAAAGACCCTTTTCTTGTGCTAATATCAAATTAAAAAAAATAAATGCAGTGGTTGATGATTCACCCCATGTTTATCAAGAATCTCCTGTTTATTTCCGGTGACTCTTATGCCAGTGGTTGATGATTCACCCCACTTTCCTTCCTTGTTGGGAGCTCAATTCCTTCTGTTTTCAAGCATGGATAAGTTAGAAATCATTGATTTGAATTTTTCGATATCATAAACTGACTT